TGTGTGTGTGTGTGTGTGTGTGTGTGTGTGTGTGTGTGTATCTTGCCAGAATAAACAACAGTGGGAAGTGCCAGTCAGTGAAAAATGGGCACCACCTCTCTTCGCTCTCCTCCTATTGATTTAATCTCCAGCCCTTTGCCACTCGCTGCCAAATCTGTCTTCACAAAACACATCTAAGGACAATGCCTTCCACTTGGGTTTTGTTTGCAGGCCTCTCTGAAATAGGCCCAAATAACCATGGCAGGATATCAGAATATTTTCCGAGAGAGTAGCGATTTTCTTCACTGCCATGAGGATGGTTTAGCACCTGTATAGATTGTATACCTGTAGTATCTACTTATGTCCTTTTCACCTTCCCTTCTATAAATTAGATCTTCTTTGCAGCTTTTTTTAAACAAACATTCTTCCCATCAGAAAGTTTAATAAGGATGGCTGAGTTAGTGTAGATTACAGTGATGCTATTTTATTATATGTAAATAAAACCTGTTTAATGTGAGAGTTACATGGTATGAATGGGTTTTGTTGTTGTTGTTGTTTTGTTATACTTATATTTCCTAAAATTCTGATGGGGGCATTTGAAGACTGTTCCGCTTCTAGGTATTCTAGAGATTTTTCTCCCTGGCTTGCTTTGCCATGTAAAATCTCAGTGTGCAAGGTTTAGGGCATAGGTCTTATCCCTACTGATTGGAAAGCACCTCTCGTCTGGAGGTGCGATCATAACAGAGTCTGTCTGAACCCTGTGGATTTTCTCTGGTGGCAAGCTTACCTGAAATACAGCTTCCACTACTGGCAGCAGCCTGGCTGTCTCATCCAGGTTTGCTGCAATTACAAAACCTCTGGCAGTGAGTTGTTCTCATCATGTCCACATGGGAGGCCAGTAAATGAGAGCAACCGAGTAGAAAAAGAAAAAAAAAGTTTGTTCCTTACGCACGTCTGCAGCCACTTCCCACTCTGCACACACACCATCACCTCCCCCTCTCAATCTCATCGTGCTGGCAAATTAAAATTCATGGGTTGCCAAACCATCCATTCTCTCTCCGCTGCTTAATTGTCTCGAAAATTGAGGAGATTACTGGGTGCGATTTATGTACAAATAAGAATCTGTCAGAAACCTGGCAGTGTATACATTGACATACACACAGACTCGATGAGCCATGGGCAATGACCAGCTTGGCCTTTGTCCATTTTCAATTCTACCCCTTCTGCAGCATTTTGGGCAAGGTATGCTTGCAAAAGTTGGCACAACACTGTGGGGAAAAAAATAGACACTCTCATAGACACTGAAAATCACACGTTGGCATGTTTGAAATTTAATAATCATCCCCTTAGTGTATCATCCCCCGTTTCTGCTTTTAATGTAAATTCTGCTTTTGAGCATATGGTACATCATAACATATCAGCTCATGGATCCTCATTGTTACTGTAATTTTTTTTTAGCTCTGGCACAGAGTGGAATCAGACATCATTAGATTGCTCATGTAAATAGCAAAAACCTGCACATTAGTCATGCCGTATGTTTTATAAGAAAAAAGTTTAAATACAAGTACATTGCTCGAGTTGCATAGTTTCCATTAGTCACAGTCTCAGCGATTGGGCACATTAATCTCCTAACATATTCCCAAACTGGCAGCACTGGCTATAAGAGCAGAGCTTAAATTTGCCTTACAAGTGCTTGTTGAGCTTAGAGCCAGTAGTAAAAGTCATTAACGCTAAAGCTCATAAATAAGCACTCATTTGTACAATCTGACCATGCAAATCTGAGAGATACTGATTCATTCTGATATAATAGCCAAAACAAAGAATGCACTCTGTTGTACTGTAATAGTATGTTTATGTATGATATGTTTGATTACTTCATTGAGGTGCTACCTACAACAGTTATGAATCTCAGTCTCCACAGCAATTTATGTGATTTTTTTTGATTGGCACAAATCATTATACTTTTCATGAAGTGAAATAACTTCACCTCCTGCCCTTAATTTTAAGGGCAGATGTAGGTGCATGGTGATATAGTCCCACATATGCAGTTATTGAACTTGTTCCTGTACTGCGCTGCAGTGAATAGCTGGATGGACATGTACTGTAATAGAATTATCTGCTCATGAGAATGATTTATTATGTCAGCGTCTTATGAAAGCAATATTATGTCATATTCATGTCTACAGGTGCATATGGGTTTGTATGTATATGTGCAGGTATGCTAAAAGCACCTGTTCGCTCCTGAGATTAAGCCAAACGAGGCAGTGTGATCATAGCCTTACAACTGTATGAATGTTATCTCACCTCTTAGACTGGTGTAGCTCAACCCCACCTATCTCCATCCCTCTACTCTCCTCCTGCTCCTACTTCTCGTTTCATTCCAGCCCATTCCAGCTAAATCCAATTTGTTATGGCTTCAAATAAGGCCTCGTTTTCTCTGTCTTCTCACCACTTCAAACAAAGTGGCTTACATTATTGCTTGTCCAATTTGAAATAGTTTTCCCCTATTTTTCTGTCTCTTCAAGTCCACTCTAGCAGTGATGCACAATAGGCAGTGTAGGCTCAAGATGTGCTGCACAAGGTGTAGAAAGTGAAAAGCCTTTACACAGCTTTATGGAGATATTATATTGTAGCTTTAGGACATGGCTGGCATTTTGCTTCACGCTGAGGTTGCCTTTCTGCTTTTGTAATGATGCAAATTCTGATATCCTCTTTACCGGTGCACATGTTTGTGCACACGTGCCTCTCTACACACGGTAATGATGTTTTTTTGTTTTCTTGTAATTGTTTTTTTGTTTTGTTTTTATTAAGCACTTGTACTTTTTGCTGAAAGAAAATGGGGAAAAAATCCCAGTGACATTAAAATTGGGATTTAAAATATTAACCTATTAACCTAAAACTGCAACAGTAAAATGTTTTGAGAGTTTGTTTTGTTGGGTTTTTTTCTAAAGCATATCAGTTGTAAAGACAGAGCACAGGGTTGGTTTCCTAATTGTTAAGTAAATATACAGATGGAAGTGTTTTACTCCAACATTCTTGCTCCTATGAGTCCTGTTTTAATTGAAAACATGCTTATGGATACTGCCTTTGATTGCATTGCCAAGCATTTGGCAGTTACGGGGGCTTTTCTACAGTCTAGTTGTTGATTGATGGGAATTATAAATCTAAAAATATCAAAGTGATTTTAATGATGCTGATATAAATAATTAGAAAAATTCTAACGTTGACTTGATAGTGATAATGATGACAACATATGGTGATCTTAACTTGCATGCATTTGATTTATAGATAGCAGTATCATGTATGTTGTTGCAAATGAACTTGGAGGGAAATATTGTCTTTATGTGCATCTGTTGTGTTGCAGGGAATGATGTATCTAGAGGAGCGTAGGCTCGTCCACAGGGATTTGGCAGCCCGAAATGTCCTGGTCAAATCTCCCAACCACATCAAGATCACTGACTTTGGGCTGGCTCGCCTGTTGGATGTCAATGAAAAAGAATATAATGCTGATGGAGGAAAGGTAAATCGTGACATCTCCTTTAGAAACATTGTCAAATAATGAAATTTGGTTAATTTTGGGGGGTAAATAGACATTTAATTTCCTTCTGAGAATCTGAGTTGATGATCACTGCCACTCACTGCCATGGAAAGCAAACATTAAACAATTTCCTGGCTGGGAAGCCTTCTTTTGCTCTAGAGAGAACAATGAGTTTTTAAATCGTAGAAGACTGTTTCGCGAGCAAAACAAGCCATCAATGCCACCGCTGAACATGTTCACCTTGGAAGTGCAGTGTACGAAATTATAGCCTCAAAAAACATAAATTAATAACTATGTTTTCATAGCTGAATGGGCTGAAGTTATCAGAGCTTGTGATTGTGAATAAGGTCGATCTAACATTAGCAACATTTGAATGTATGAAGTTGAAGACTTGTGTTGTTTATATGGGCTATTTTTTTTTCTTTGGTCTGAAGTCTCCACTGTTTGTTTGTTCCTCTCCTTTGCTCTTTGTTTCACATTTTCCTTGTGTCTTTTGTGCTCTTCATCTGCTCCCCTATATGTGTCACACACAGAGCAGAGTAAAGCAGGCACACTCTTAGCGGAGGAGAGGAGAGGCAGGTGAAGTGAAGATAATGTTACTTGAGATGGTGACAGCTAGGAAGGAGAGTCATTTTAAAAGGGATCCGAAACTTTGCTTTGTTTTGGTTTTTTTAAGCTCAAATAGCTACTATGTAGTGAGTTTTTGAGGTGCTGATTGCCTGATTGTGTTATCTTCAAAAAGACCCAGATCAGGCATTTAAGCTAAACTAATCTGCTGCTGGCTTCTGCTCTGTATAGACTGACTGTCTCTTCTCTTCTGACTGTCAGGAAAGTGAACGAGAATAATGCAAAAGCTTTCATTTAAAAATCTCAATTTCATTTGCATTTGAACCAGACATTTAAAATATGCCAAAAACGTCTGCTTTATAATTCTTTCCTTAACATTTAAATGAAAAATGCAGTTTGAATGTTGGAGTGTGTACAGGCTGCAGTAACCATCATGTTAGTGCTTTTTGTTACTTTTGCAATTGGTCCGGTATGATCACTTGAACTTGTAATAAGGGCCCATCTACCTCAGTTATTTGTTGAATAAAGTGTTGGTTTAGGAGATACAATATTAATAAATAACCATTTTGAACCTTACGGCTGACTTTTTGTAAAAGACAGCGATACACATTAACATTAATGAGGGTTTCATATTCTACAAGAAGAACTTAGCCCATCACAAAGGACAGTTTCACTGGAGTGAAATGCTATTCTGCTCTACTGGACCGTGTTATTTACCTTTGGGGATTTCAAAACCCTGTAAACATAGTAAACAAATATATCCTTGAGGCTGTACTTACACGGAGTTCTGACCTCTTCTAATCTTTGTTTATCCTTTGCCGCTTTTGTATTTTGTTTTCAAAACCTCTTTACTCAAGAAAGTCTTTTTCATCCCTCTCTCTTCCTCTCTTTCCAGTGTCTCCAACACGGTTTATATCAGTGACGATCACTGTAGTATTTTCCCCTCAGCTGAGTGAAAGACAAGTTCTGATCTTCCATAGCCCTTCCTCTCGGTTTCCATCGCTGTAATAAATAGAATTTCATATCTAATTATAGTGTTAAGCTGCATATCACCAGTGTTGTTGATGTATCTTTGCCAAAATGGTCCATTATCACTGTCAACACCCAACTAGCTGATATTTAGTATAAAAACACATGGAAAATTAGAGTTTTCCTTAAGTATAAGGGTACTAACATCTCTGCTTTTATTAACAGATGCCCATCAAATGGATGGCCCTTGAGTGTATTCATTACAGGAAGTTCACTCATCAGAGTGACGTTTGGAGTTATGGTAAGTGTCCTTTGAATATAACAATGACAGTTTTCTATATAATTTTATTGATAACAAAGGCACTGGTTGACCTTCATCCAATGAAATGTAAATAGAATCACCTGTTTTGCAAAAAGTTTTATTGTTTCTTACTACTTTATTGTCATGTTGCCATCAATATACTAGAAACAACAATGTCAGTTGCTAGGCAGCATATGGCAGCATAATGTATCAGATGTGTAATTCAACTTTTGTAGATATAAATTACATGTTACGGTCCCGAAATTAAGCAATAGAATATTTTAGTATGGTGCTTTAGGTACATAAATACTGCAAATGGTTATTTTAGCCAGTGGTGGGTGATTGTTAGGTAACATGATGCCATCGTAATATCAGATGTCACTAAGAGCATTCGAGGCCCTTTAAAGTGTACCTGTGTGCCTAGTTTAGTTGCTCAACCGCTGACAGTCTAGCAGGAATTTACAGACAAAGGAAAAAATAAAATAAGACTTGTGTGTGTGACAAGAAATAAAGAGGGGAATAGAAAAAGGGTGCATGAGGTAGAATGTGTTCAAGGCCATCTTCATATTCTTGGTTTTATTCATTATTTACAGACAGTTACATCAAAATACATGTAGTGGGAGAAAACTATTGAAGGTACAAGGCTGTGAGGGAGAGGACAGAAGGACCATGAGAGGAAAGAGGGTGAGATCACGCTCCTGCTGAGAGCTTGGCTCCGACTCTTCCCTGTCCATTTAAAACGCTAAGAGCAGCCAAGAGACGGTGAATAGACAGTGGATGGACACTTTACTTTGAACTCATATACATGTAGTGTAATGTGAAGTAAATTGTGATGAATAAAATCCTGAACATTATTTTAACTCATCTTTTTAGTTTCACAAGAATCAAGAACCATTTGAATGGTTGATTTTTTCCTTGGTGGCTAATTAGAACAGACCAGACCTGGCTGATTGGTGGGTTTTGCAATCTGTAAAAAATTGCGGCGAATAAGGGAATAATTTGGGGACACTTGAGTGTAGTTTGCACAAGGAAGCATAAAACTGTTATTGGTCACATCATAAGTCTTTGCACAAGGTGTTGCTTTTATCCAAGCCTTGTCATTTCTGCATACCTGTCTGACAAAGATCTTACCCATAGCTTACAATGCGACACTGTAGCAAGGTGGTTAAAAGCAGAGTCACGCCTATGTTTTCCTGTCATTTATTTATGTAATTTGCTTGAGACTGAGACTTATTGGTAAAACAACATTTACTGTTTTCTTAAGACATCTCTTTTTCAAATGTCTGTTTCATTAAATGAAAAAGATTTCAAAGTGCACTTGTGCTTCCTTACTCTAAAAGAAAAGGAACATTTATTTTTGTTTTCCTATTTCCACTTACTTAGTGAATTTGGGCTTTCAACTTTCTACTTGTTCTTGTTTTTGTAATTATCTTTTTGTCTCTCCTTACTTAATCTGTCTGCCTCTGTGCTCATATATCACTACTCCTACATCTTTCAGGTGTAACCATTTGGGAGCTGATGACCTTTGGAGGGAAGCCATATGATGGGATTTCTACAAGAGATATCCCAGATCTGTTAGAGAAGGGAGAGCGTCTTCCTCAACCACCCATCTGCACCATTGATGTTTACATGGTCATGGTCAAATGTAAGTAAAATCTCAAAGTAACCAGAAGAACAGAAACTCTCTTTAATAAACTAAAATCAAATGCAACAGATCAAATAAATCAGAATTAATAATTACTGCTTCTACCATGTTAAACTGAGAGCGATGAGGAAACATGCTAGCTAGTTTTGAATAGAAAACATGTTCAGAAAACATTTGGTAATCGGTAGATTGCGGTTCTACAGTTTAGCCCACCTGTTTTCTTTTAATTGATCATACTTGTATAAAATTTTAGAGGACTGCTAAGCATGAACAGGTTGGCCTTAGTGGTCAGCCACTGCTGTTATACTGTCAGGCACTGGGGTCACAGGTGGCACTATACCCTCTGGCCACTGCTGACAGGACAAAGACTGGGTGCCAGCACCACTTCAGCCTTCTCTACTGCTCTCCAAGGTTCAGCCTCTGGCCGTTTCTGTCACCTTGGCTTTTACGGTCACCCTCAACCTGCGCCAATCTGGCAAGTGGACACAGACACGGCAGGGAGAGGTTACTATCACCTGCCTCTTATCTGACTTCTTTCTGCAACACTGCACATGCTGAAAAGGCTCATGTGCTCAGTGTACTTCTGAAGCTTTAACTAATTTCACTATCCTCTGCTTTACTGGCAATAATAATAGACGCTATGCACCAAGACAAAAGATAATCAATTTTACATTTGAAATGGCTTGTGTATGTATTTATGTATTCACATCTAAAGCCACATTTAACCATCCTTTACCTAGTCAGCCTGTACTCAAGGCCAGACCACATGATTGCTTTGGCATTATATCATCATGTTCACATGGAAACTGGCAGAAGAGCACATAGCTCCATATGGCCATTATAGCGATGAAACAGTATTTATATTTGAATAAAGAAGAGAACTTAATTTAAACTCATGTAATTAATCATTATGAAACAATGCATTCTGGAAAATGGTTTAAAAATGAAATCTTCAAAAATCTTAAGAAGTAGGGGAATATGGCCTGTTTTCATGTCATGTGATTGATGTCAAGCTTTCACAGGTTAGCTACAGTTTTTTGTTACCCAGACCTTCCCACCACAGTTGGCCCAGGGATAATCCACCACATCTGCCCCATCAATACACGAGCAAACACACCAGACTCCACTATCACCACCACTTAATAGCATAATGGTGTAATACAGAGCTGCTTTGAGTGCAATTGAAACCACCATCATGATAGATTTAACCTACCATATCGACCAGTCAGGAAATAAGTTCAAGTTCAGAATAATTTCAATTTATCACTTTACGTATAAATACCCGTTCACAATGAATTATTCACTCTGTAGAGATAGTTGCATGTCAAAAAATAATGCTTGAAAGATGATATCAAAGTCTAATTATTGTGCATTATTATGTAGCCTTTAATCCAAAGCCTCAGTCTATGGAGGCATTACCCTTGACACCAAAGTAGGAAGACCACTCAACTGCACTGCCAAATCTCCACTGACACCTTCTCAACACATTGTTCCTAATAGTTAAATGGGGTAACAGTAAATTTACACAGGAACAAAAAACAGAATCCTGATGGGGATAGATGAAGCCTCAAATTGAATGTTGACTGGGAAAGTTATACACATCAATAAGATGTATAGATGGCATCTCCACCCCACACACACGTTATTTTTATTTGGAACATCATATTGTTAAATATATAATAAAGAAATGCCTTTCAGGCTGGATGATTGATGCAGACAGTCGACCCAAGTTCAAGGAGCTGGCTGCCGAGTTCACTCGAATGGCTCGAGATCCCCAAAGATATCTGGTCATCCAGGTAGGTAAATTGATGGTATCGGAATATGTATGTTATCTTTATAGTGTGTCTTCGGTTACTGTGTCAGTTTTTCATATAGAGAGTTTTTCTGTTTCCCATTTCTTTGTAAAAGAAAAAAAACATGGATTTTGCTTATGTTGTGTTAAAATAAGTGCTCATTCAAAAAAGGTTTCTCTAAGTAACACAAGTAAAACAGTCATGAAACAAATCTGACATTATCACACTTGTTATTCTGATATTTTCAAATTAACTTCAGTGAAATATAAGCTGCAGAGGCTATAAAAGTGTTAAAAATAATAGCTAATGTGTTATCAGAATAACAAGCTGGACCTCACTCCAAACACTCTCCGTCTGATAATATATCTATTAATGTCTACTTCCACCCTATACACATTTGTTGTGGTTTCTGTGCCCCACCCTCCCTTTCTTGTTTCTCTGCATATCAGCCTTTCTCAAAAGTATCAGATGGATCTGCCAATGACAAGGCCCCAAACCACAGTCTGACTTAACTTGTTGCTTTATCGTCAATAAATGTTTTTCTCCCTCCCCTCACTTCCAACTGGTGACAGCAGATGGCCGCCCCTCCCTGAAGTTTGGTTCTGCCGGAGGTTTCTTCCTGTTAAAAGGGAGTTTTTCAATCCCACTGTTGCTAATAGTGGGTTTTTGTTTTTTGTTTTTTTGGATTGTTGGGATTTCTCAGTTTTATTGTAGACTTTGTATCTTACAATATAAAATGCACTGAGGCCATTGTTGTGATTTAGCATTATATAAATAAAACTGAATTGAACTGAATCAAACTTTACTCAGGGTGATGATCGCATGAAGCTCCCCAGCCCCAGTGACAGCAAGTTCTTCCAGAGCCTCTTGGATGAGGAGGAACTAGATGACCTGATGGATGCTGAGGAGTACTTGGTGCCCCACTCCTTCAACATCCCCCCACTGGCATACACTCCCCGCACAAGGATGGACTCCAACAAGGTATTTTATTTCAAGCGCCCTAATACAATGTTCAATATGTGGAAGAAATACTGAAGATACACTTACATTGTGTTATTAAGGTGGATCATTATGCAATGTGACTGCACAATGTGTTTTGTGGTAGAAATAGATTGTTTAAACTTGGAGGAATTTTTAAAAATAGCTTAGACTTAACAGCATGTTTTCATCTTAGCATGTCAAATACTGCTATTCTGGCAGATGCCACTGGCATCTGTGCTGTGACAAGAGAGATTAAGTCCACATTTGGAGGCTAGAAGGGTGGTGGTGGTGGTGAAGTAAATCACAAGTTTGCCAGCCAACAACTCACGGTTTGTCTCCTGTTTCAGACTTTGTTCTGCGTTGATTTCACTTAATAATTAGTTTTAGGTTTTGTAGTGGCCCTGGCAGAACCACAATGGTGCAATAGGCTTAAGAAAAGGCTATGGATTATGGTGTAGGTTCACACCCCTTCACAATATCAAGCGTGCATAAAATGTTCAACTAATTTTCTTCTGTGTATACCCAGCTGGCAGTGGTGATAAGAGCAAATAGAGTTCTTAAATGACTTGCTCTTGTCTATGTAAAATATCTAAATAGAGCTTTAAAAAGATGACAGATCTGGTTAGCCAGCTGGTTGAACATGTGATTGCATTAGCCCTTCTAATGTAGTCATTGTCAAGCTGGATGGGCTATTGATTTTAACTGTTTTTGATGTACTCACTCAACAATTAATTTGTTCTTGTTGCTCTGTTTTTATCAGAATTTTAAACTAGAAGTAACAGTGGTAATAGGAGGTGCCAACTGCCATTAGTCATAATGGTTTTTTACATTCTAGACATCTAACCCAATATTTTAGTGTAGTTTTCAGTTCACTGTACTGTTGTTGATGTCCACAGATTTTCCTACAAAAATATTTAGCTGGAATATTTTTAAATAATTTATTAACATTGTACACAAGATTAAATCTATTAAATGATAAACTGTAAAGTCATAAAGTTCGAAACCTCTTGCAATAACCTAGGTAAGCCAGTTTGTGTTTTCCAAGTGAATCCCTTCATTAACACTGTAAGGAAGACTGGTGGCCCAACCCTTTTTCATTATTTTTGTTATTACTTCTTTAATGAACTTAAGTTTTAATTTGTGTGTTTTTCTTTTACTTTTTTCATTAAATTTGTTTCTTATCTTTTAATTTGACATGGTCTCTGGATTACCATCTCTTATTACCAGTTCTTTCTAAGCATAGTAGCAGTGTGGCTGGTTGAAAGATGAAAAATGGGACAATATAGCAAAAGTACTCAAATCATTTAGATGCATTCTAAAGTGATATGGGAATGGTTTTCTCAGTGCAATGCAGGACTATTCTGTTCAAGCACAAAAGACTGAGGCCTTAAAACTGCACTCACACAGCTTTCTCGCGTTCACTCCCATCTGTCTCTTGCTGTCCACTTCTCTTTCTGTTTTCCTTCGTCTTTCTCCTTTGTGAAACTGTTGTAATTGCCTTCTTCTGAATTGGAGTTTACAGCTAGATCTTCTCAGTTCTTGGACTGTTCAAATGTTCATAGTCTCTCTTTGGACTTAAATCTATCACAGCACCAGTCACACAGCCAGAATTCAAACATTTTCTATTCCATAATCCCCCTGTGTTTATGTCAGAATAAAAATACCCACTGAATGCCAATGAGAGACATGTCTCAAACCTGTTTTAGTGCATTTCAGAGAGTGAATGATTATGTATTTGCCTGATCTGTATATATATTTACAATCCCCCTGCTGTTCCCTACTATTGCCTATACTTTTCTTCCACTACTGGGCCTTTCTTTTTAGTTTAAATTATTATGAAGTTATTTGCATTCAATTTCAAATAGGTTGATTATTGTAATGAGCTTGATTATTAAAACACTTACTTATACAGGCATATTTCACTCTATTATTGTGACTCATAACTGGAAGAAATTTGTTCTGCACTCACTTAAACAGACATTGCCACCATACTCCGAAATGTCATTATGAAAATGCATGCTAAGATTAAAAACTATTTGGTTTAAAGCGATGAAGATGTTTAGCCTAGCCAAAAGCTTGTGCTTTGATAAAAAGGTGAACGGGGCAGTTTACTTGACTCTTCAAGTAATAGTTAATATTTTACTTCACACTGGATTAAGTCTCTGTTCATCTTCAGGGTACAAAGTAATACAGCTGTGCATGTGTTTGAATATGATTTAAAGAAACTCCACAGTTTTATATTTGTGTTAAGGTTAGTGATTGATTTTGTTTTTTATTTTTTGATGAGTGATAGGTATAAATGAGGATTGAAAGAGGGAAATTTAGTAGATATACCTGCAGTTACATACCTGTAATGAGAAAACAGCATGAGCTCTAAGGCCTCAACTAATTGCTTCTGGCTTATAATGTAGAGCACTAGATGAGAAACTGGGGAAGACTCCACATGTAATATATCAGGAAAAAAGAACGATGCTGTTGCATACAGAAAATGAGAATGCCCCTCAATTCTGCCCTTTGAAGTTCCTGAGATTTCAAGCAAAGGTTTGGACAAAATATAGCAGTAGGCACAGTTTTGTTTAAAGCTCCTATTTGCTAATAATTGCATTACTCCGATCTCTAAGTTAACAAAAAAAAAGGAAACAAAAAAGATTTACATGACTGTGCGACAAGAGTCAGATGTCATCAGTAACTGGGCACTCAGTAAAAACTTTATTGGAATAACTTAGTAAGCTTGTAAAGAAGTATGCTCATTTCCTGCTTTAGATTTGTATTTGTGGACTTCACTAAATTATTTTCCATAGTTCAAAATAATTTTCTGCTACAATGTACTTTGATAGAACTCCTCAATTCACCATCTGTCTGAAAAAAGGAATCTAAGCTTCTCCCGCTTTAAGGACACTGATCTTTTAAGGCAGATTTCTACTGATTTGGGTATGGTAAACAAAAGGTTCACTGGGTGAGATGTGTGCCTGTGATGAGCGTATTATGGATCTCTCCATCAGTATGTACCTGTCTCTGTGTGACACCATATAGACCCAAAAGAAAAAAGAAATTGTTGGAAACTGGGCATTTAGAGTATGAAGCCATTTGTATCTTAGATACAAACCCAATTCTGAAAAAGTTGGGACACTTTATAAAATCTAAATGAAAAAAGTTGCAATAATTTACTAATCTCATAAACCATATTTCATTTACAGAAGGATAAAGAAAAGGCAAATGTTTAAACTGAGACTTTTTGCTATTTTATGAAAAGTATTAATAACATCTCAAAAACGTTTAGACGAGGGAATAAAAAGCTGGAAAAGTGAGCAATATTAAAAAGAAACAGTTGGAGGACCATTTTGCAATGAATTAAATTAACTGACTACAGGTCAATAACATGATTATGTATAAATAGAATATCTCAGGGAGGCAGAGTTTCTTAGAAGTAAAGGTGGACACAGGTTCATCAATCTGGGGGGAAAAAGTGCATCTAAAAATTGTGGAACAATTTCATAATAATGTTCTTGAAGGAACAATGTTAAAGACGGTGAATTATTTTTCATCTACAGTATATAAGATCATTAAAAGGATAAAAAGGATCTTGAGAAATCTCTTGGATGTGGACATGTGCACATGGGACAAGAATGAAAATCGATATTGGATCATGCTTGTGATCTTTGTGCCCTTAATGCACTGCAAATTAAAAATAGGTCAGACTCATAGAAATCCATCCATGGCTCAGAAACACTTTCACGACTGTGTACACAGTTTGCTGTGCTATTCAGAAATGCAGGTAAAAGCTCTATCATGCAAAGAAGCCATATCAAAGCTTTTTTTAAGGTGGACTGAAACAAGGCAGAACGCAAATCAATATTTGAAATTCTTTTGGAAAACATGGAACCCACATCCTTTGGACAAAGGGAACAGCTTGTATGCATGCAGTTCTGTATGTAGTTCAGAGCTTTCACCAGCTAAAAACATTTGGCGTGTGGTGAATCAAAAAATACAAACACAAAGAAGACCTAGGACTGTTGAACAGCTGTAGTATATATATATGAGAGAGATAAAAAGATTGGGACAGCATGCCTCCCCCAAAAGTTCCGCAACTTATATTTTCTGTTCCCAGAAATTTACAGCGAGGGGATCCTGTAAACATCGCCCTGTACTTATTTTTCTTAAAATGATACGTTTTTCCAGTTTAAATATTTGATGCAGGTTTGGTTCTGAATAAAGTATATGTTCATGAGATATGCAGATCATTGCATTCTGTTTTAATTTACATTTTACACAGCATCCCAAATTTTTCAAAATGTTTATTAATCATATGCTGACCTCATTATCTGGTAATTTAGCCATGTTTCATCCACTATTATAACAATTTTTTAGTATTAAATAAGGTAAATAGCCAGAGGTCCACTTTAAGGGAAATAAATTCCATATACTGTTGCCGTAAGATCACAGACGACTCAGCATTAACCTGAGGATAAGTTAATAAAAAATTTAAAAAAAATAAAACTTGCTGAAAATATGGGGGAGAAAAGATAAACCGAGTAAAGCACTTGCTGAGGTTCATAAAAGCCCTTTTTTGTCATTAGTGTAGACACAAATGCACACAGCATGACATATCTGATATGGCTACTTAAAGACTTGCTGCATGGAGCCTTTTAATTAAAATCCTTTTAATTGTACTTGGCAGTCATGCTGCCATATCATTGTTTGGCACTGCTGTTTGTCTCCCCTGCCTGTCACATTTTAATATTGCAGATGGACAATAGTACAAAGTACTTCAATTGTCACTTTTACAATAGTCTTTGTCTTACTTTTTTTGTTGTACTTTTTATATTGTTTTTTTTTTTGCTTTTGTACTTGTACCACACCAGAAAATCAAACTAGTTTGTAGACAAAAGATTGGAATAGAAACAGTTTCCCCTTGAAGGTAATGAACTTAAAGTTCATTGACTTTGACATTAGATTTTAGATTTTAAACACAATTTGCCATTAATCTCTCATCGTATATCTGTCTTAGTAAACTGATTTTCTTTGAATTCAGTCTCACATTCCTACTATCCTAACTGAACCCTTTCTCTCATTTACTTCTACACAGAACCAATTTGGCTGTCAGGATCCCAGTTTCAGCATGGAGGATATGCTGGCTGCCGTGCCGAGAGTGATCTCTGGTCCCCCTGTTACTGGAAGCTGCCTCGCTCCACAGGAACTTGCCTCAGGAGGAAAAATAGTTGGTGGATTTGGCCGTGGTAGCCAGGATGACCCCCGCTGTAATGGCACTCTGAGAAAACAGGCATCCCCAAGGTCAAGCACCCTTGAGGCTGGCTCAACTCTCACCACAGTGCAAGGTAAAGTAGAATGACATTCAAAAGCAGCGGTCATGGGATTAAATTCAATTGAGGGACTCTGAAAAATACTTTGGGTTGCTCATACCAGTAAATTGTAAACAAATATCAAGCATAGAGTCATTATGTTTTGTGTTTTTGTAAACATTACCAAACTCTACATGAATAAACTGAAACTTAATGACATATCCTAAGAATTCTTTGGTACAGTTTATTTATTTTAAAATCTGGTTTGATTATAATATGTAAAGAGAGGATTCGCGAATTTTATTTTCAGTCACTGAGCCTGAATGTACCACAAGGTGATGCCATAGCCAGTGACACAGTGACAAAAATGTCATGTCACAGTAGACAAGATAGGTGAGATCGGAACAGAGAAAATGTCCTGAATTATTTGTTGACATTGTGACTCAAGTTATTCTTTTCTACGTTTTCCCTTTATGCTTGCTGCCAATATTTGTTTGGGTAGGTAAAGTGAGTTTAACAATGCAAGCGTGTCTATAATGTCACTTCATTGGAGAAGTAAGAAGTGAAAGAGATGAGTGTAACATATTGGTAATGGCTGCGTTCGAGCACTAATCGGAATCCATGTACTGTACGGTCAGCCCATGAAAAATAAAGATGTCATCCCTAAATCACCCAAATTAAAGTTACTTGGCTACAGTTATAGCTCTGCCTCGGAGTTTATTAGAAAATATATATGGATCTTGACATAAGGTTTTCATAGTAGCATACTTTAAAACTCTCTCTTGCTTCCTTTCCTCTTGCAAGGCGGAGGTGAGGACAGTAATGGACAGCGTTACAGCGCCGATCCCACTGGTCTTTTATCAGAGCGAGGAGCAAAAGGCAATGCCATGAGAGACAAGAGCAATTCAGGTTACTCTGACAGTTTTGAATGTCTTCATCAAATTTCTAAATGTTTGGATAAAATGAGCTAAATGACATAGTTTGTGTTGTGATACAGTACTTATCTAAAATAACATATTAAATGTGTACCCAGTTCTTTTAAGGGTTTGAAAGCATCTGATATGTACACTATAACTTACAACATTCAATAACAGTACTGTAGAGACCTTAGCTAATGCTAATATCCCCTTTTTGTTTCCAGATTATCTCATCCCTGTAGAGGAAAACCCCTTTGTCACACGGCGTAGGAATGGAGATGCCCACACAGTGATTGATGGAGCTAGCTGCCACACTCTGCATTTGGCTGGAGCCACTGCTGCCCCCAAAAGTCAATCCACTCATGGTGATGATGAGTATGTCAACGAGCCACTGTACCTGAATACCCTCCTCAACACTGGGGCCAAGAATGGATTGGCTGGCACAGTCTCCATCTCTGGCTCCGGATCCTCTGTTGCACAATCAGTACTGCAGACAGTCAACCCACCAACATCAAGCCACACCATCTCCTCCACTGGATATGTGGTACCCCCTGGCCACCTCCCCCACCCATCGTATCCATCACACACCCTGCATTCGGGGCATTCAGGACACGCTCTGCACTCAGGCATCACCAGCGGCACCATTATGTTTGATAAGAAAGGCAAGAAAGCCACTTTTGACAATCCTGAATACTGGCAGCACAGTCTCCCTCCCAAGTCCTCACTGCACAACCCTGAGTACCTGCAGGACTGCAGCACACGCTTCTTCTACCGCCAGAATGGACGCATTCGCCCTGCTGTGGCTGAAAACCAGGAATACTTGTCAGAGGCTGCTATGAAAACAGGCAATGTATTGCCACCCCCTCCATACAGACAGAGGAACACTGTGGTGTAGTGACCCACCTGTAGCACATTAGCGATGAATAGAGGGGTATGGGTGGGGATGAATGGACAGTAAACAGTCCTCACGTTTCCATGCTGTTCTTCTCAAACTGGGTTCTTCTTTCACCTTTCCTTAACACTTCTCTTTGTCATGTCTGCTAATCTTGTATTCTCACTCACTGGTTTTGCATTTTCTATGACAAAACTATAACAACATTCACTAACGGCCTCTTTTGTTACTTTGTCCTTGGCCCCTAAAGCAAACACAGACATCTCTTTGTGGTGTATTCTGTCCTGGAAAAGAAAAAGTCCAGTTTTTTTAGAATCAAAATTGCACATAAAAAATATTAACAGAATCAAAGATGAAAAGAGGAGGAAAAAAATAAACTGTGGTTAGCCCCAGCACGGTTATTTCCATGACCTTACATGTCTTTCTTTATACACCCTTAAATCATTGTTCACTGTCCCTTTGGCACATTTTCCATCCAGCTAGATGCACACATTGTACTATTCACACAACTGCTATTGCTTGGGTGCAGTCAATCAAATGTCCATGCACATAGAGTTGTGTCATGACTTACCAGCAAACCTGCAGTCATGCTGAAAACCCCAGATGTGGCCTGCATGCCTGCCGTCATGCTGCTTTGACTTTTACGTTTCACTGCACCAGTAATGAAATTCAGACATTTATCACACACATATTTCAAATCATACCTGAAACACGTTAACATGCCTGTAGGCTTGATACACCTACAATAACCACACATTATTTCATACATGCACACTGACAGATAAGTCTGCCGCCACTTGAAATATGTTCTGAAGGAGAAACAACATTAGACCTTGTACTTGAAAAAGATAATGTCGATAATGGCAGCCAGAGTTACAGCACTAAAACGGGCCAACAGGGCGGTACATACCGCCACAGCTGTGATATCACCTGGTACCTGATTGAGCAGCATTTGACACATTGTTGCCGCGGCAAGTTTGGATTAGAAGGTTGACTGCTCACAAGATGACCCTTTAAATTCCACTGTAATTTTCCATGCTGTTCCTCATCTTTACCAATCTAGTCCGAGTAGCGAACAAACCGCACAGTTCAATGTTACCTTCATGAGCTCATGTGACTGACTAAAACATTGGTAACTGCAGTAGAAGAGATTTTATTTCAGTGGAACCGGTGCTTAAGAATAGACAAATCTTTTAAGAGGTACAACAACATGTTTCTGGAGAAACACAAACTGAGGGGGAAAGACGGTATTTTAAAATCTTTATCAGAGTATAGCGGGGGTATTTTTTTGTTTGTCTGTCTTTGTTTGTTAATCCATCAGGGACCTGTTTATTTCCTCAACTTGTCTGACAATGTACTGTATTTGATCAATAAAGGGATGGGGTAAACAGCACAGTAATGCAGCCACGAAAGAACGTTGTGGAGATGACAGAAAAAGGAAAACTCTCCATGGCTGGAAATAAGCCAATTACATGTCATCGCCAGACAGACACAAGCAACGAAAAAGGAAAAGAACACCTACAGGAGTTTTTTTTCTTACCACTCTGTGTTAATACTGTTGTATGTAATAAAAAGAGAAAACTAAGAAAGTCACTATCTGCCCTTACTCTTAGGTATAAGATAGCTAAAGCAAGGGTCAGCTACATTATTACCCTGTAACAAGTTTAAAAAAAGGGACATTTTCTGTCTTGGTGTTTGACATTGTAAGTTATCACTAAATCTACTGATGGCTAGCTTGCTGTACTCATACAGTACTGCCAGATGCCACATTAAATTATGATGGAGAGTGCTAGCATCTGTCGTCAAATGACTTTGAAGCCTAATTTAGGTCGGGGCTGATAATTTATTAGCACTTAACACTCTGGCACAGCCAAATTGCGTTGGTGTTATTCTCACTATAAGCAACAATTCGTGCAATTTTCTCCATCACACTCCAACTTTCATTTACAGTGAGATAACACCTGAGTTTTTTGGGTTATTTTGCTTTTTTTTTTTGTTTTGCATTTAACTAACAAAGAAGCATTCTGTAAAGAATATCACTTTGGGCTGACAGTGACACCAACACCAGGGGGAAAGAAGCTATAAACACAAACATGGTAGCAATATTTAATTTGAAGGATTCTTCATCGCTTTTGATTGTTTATTTATTACATTCAAGAGATTAAAGGGATATTCTAGTGCTTAGATTTTGTACTTCTAATGTTCTGGGATTAAAGTGATTAATAAGAGGAGGTGTAAAAAGAATCACCATCAAATATCTTCAATTTTAGTTTTGAGTAAGGGTCACAAATGTCAGCTACATCACCAGTGACGCAACTCTAGCCTGCTTCATAAAACACTTCTTATATTCCTTCTTCCTAAATGTGTATTTCCTGCCAAACATTTTTGTTTAAGGCATCAGTGATGAGATCACCAGAGATATTTTTCTCAGCTTTTTTTTTCAGATGCAGAGTGGTAAGCAGTAAGTAGCTTGAGTGTCTGTCAAGGGGTTTGACAATTGTTCAAACACAGTAAGAGAGAAATGAGACACTGGCAGACCGACTCAGAGTTTCAAAGACGTGCGCACGGGTGAGAGTCTCTGAGCAGACTAACACACCGAGCACCGTTTACTCGCTTTATTTATAAGGCAAAATGGGTTACATAGTACTTCCTCTTTCAACTGAAGAGGGGAGAGCTCAGGCATTGTCTTAGCTATCTAACTTCTGCACACAAACTGAAAAACAACGACACAGCAGTATTCATGCTTATCTGACATCTCAGACACTGAAGTAAAGAATGCATGTATATCCTGTCTTTGTCAAACATCTTACACACTCAAGCAAGGAATACATTGTGTTCTTTTCAACAGTAAGCTTTACCGTGTGAAAATATATAAACACTTGATTATAAGGCATACTTGTTTCTACTTGATTATACTTTAATGATTTAACTAAAATAAAAATTCTCTTAACAGTGTCATAAATAAAACTGGTGGCCTAGCCTTTAAACTCTGAAAGATATGATTAGCTTGACCTAATTTCAATAACATTTACAATATCACAGCATATATATGTGTGGTATTATAGAGGGCCGAAGCTGCCTAACCCCTGTGCATGTATCAGTGCTGAAAGAATACACAAGCACAGTTACACAACGTTGTGCCTCAATATTACAGATTCAGATGAGCGGTGCCGATGATTTTTTGTTCAAAACGCAGATGTTGCCCTGGCACAGCATTTCTCCACCTCTCAGGTTTTATGGAAATAATAATCATCCAGTAGAGTTCCAGCTGAGGCACAAATTTTTAAATCAAAAAGGGACATCAGGCCTATTGAAATGTAATCATAATGGAAGACAGATTAGTCCCACAATACCACAATAAGAGCACTCATAATAAATGCATCTCAACAGAAATGTGAATTTTATAGTGAATTTTATCATGTTAAGTATCACTTTGGCCTTTGTTCTGTTAGAAATCTGATCTACTGTCTTACACTTCTGAAATAATCAAGTATTCTGATTTACTATCATTTGAATATACTCTTATGTATACATTATTTGTCCTAATTTATGGAGCAAAATGGCCCCCTCTATATTTTTTACAGATTAATGTCAGTTATGTAAGTCAATTTTTACCATTACCCGTAAAAAAGCAGTAGTGCTTGTGGACTACTATATGGCTGTGTGTCTAAGTGCAGCGGCAGCAGTTGAGAGTCACTGTAAGGCTTTGAAATGGCTCTCTGTGGGAAAATACAGCCAATCTTGTGGACGAGAAAACCTACTGGTGCTCTCAGCCAGCAACCATCACAAGGGGCTTTTAGCTTTTTGAATGCTAATTCATCCACTTTCCCTTGTTGTTCTGTGGGGAAATCATGTTACCCAACATCTCACCCAGTGCACCAGCTGAGAAACCCTGAACGACAGGCAATAGGTTGTAATCCTGCAGCGAGGTTAAAACGTAGGTATTAGCATTCAAGAAATGTTACCCAGTCAATGCATCAATGTTATAAAAGCTATGATGGTGGAAGACGCAAGAGCACTGAAACTGGCAGAGAGGACCAGAGTTAATTGCCATTCTTTTTTTCCTCCTCTGTGGTAACTATAGAATTCTTTGTAGCAAACACTGTCGTGCGGCTGAAGCAGTGAAAAATGAAAAGCAGTCATTATTGAGTGAACATAACCAGAGGAGTCCGGAGAGAAAAAGTGATCATGAAAGATGTTAACATGAATCACAGCACAATGTGAACGATACAGCAGTCTGTAATGTTCTGCGTGAAAGCTTCATAAGCGTAAAGTAGTAAAGGAGCACAATGACTCCCTCTCAGTGCTGACTGCTAATTCAGTAAATGAGCCTTTTTGGTAAAAATTTGTATTTATATTTCATACTTTTGTTGAGTGTTAAAAATGTAATTATGTTTTAAGTTGAGTAGAAATTTTGTTTTACTATAGCTTTTGGTCTTCAGGGTCTCATTGTGATTTTT